ATCACAGATCATGGATCTTTTGCTACATACCTTTTCAAGTTCTGAAGGAGGCAAAACACGAAATGCCCATACTGCGTACACGAGGACAGCCTGGAACACACCGTGTTCGAATTCCGGAACTTTGAATATCTCAGGAGAGAAGCTGCCTAAACCTGCCAAGTGGAAGCCATTACCAAGGTTAACATCGGGTAGCTATACTGGAAATTGAGAAGAACTGGAAGGCAGTGACAGAGTGGTTACGAAACACTATGAAAAAAAAGTGTGAAGATAAAATTAAGGAATGGTAAGGCACACTACAAAAGTAATGCGATAAGCGGTTCCACGGTGGTTTGTGGAAGAAAATAGGAGGGGTTTTAGCCGGCACTACCTGATTCGACAAATATACAAAACCAGGTGTTCATAAGGATTTTTCCCTTAAAAGAAAGTGTTAAGTGTAGTTAAGTAAACAGCGAAATAACTTAAGTTATGGGTGATGCCGAGTGCAGCCGAATTTTTGGAAAAGTTAAACGAGAAGATTCAAGGGTTCCTGATAATCTTAAGGAAATACAATGGAAAGAGACGTCATTTAGTTATATTTTTGTCAATGAAAATATAAAGTTAGAATCTTATATTGCCAGAGAATTTTAAAGTCAAGGTTGAAAGATATAATTGTCATTAAAAGTACAAGCGCTGATCATACTGAGTTAAACATGGCAGAAGCATTTAGTTTTAAACCGGCTACCCAAGTGGCCTAAATTAAACGGTTCTCTAAAACAAGTACATCAATTAATAGAGGGTATAGAATTGTATGAGCCGTTACTCATTAATTTTGTTCTTAAAGATTTTATTTCGTTTAAAGAAAAAATACGTCCTCAAACTACAAAAGATTTAATTTTATATTTTAAAAAGCAACTCTTGCATCGCGATTGCAAAATTTCCGACAAAGAACTCAAAATATTGAAGAAACTGACGACCCATAGAAGTAATAATGGCGAATCTTACTTTAACACAACCAATTACTATCCAAATCCAATTGAAATTTTCGGGAAATAAAATGAAAAATGGGCCATTAACGTTTTTGCGAATGGGATGGGAATTACTTTTTATAATTAAACCGCGTAATTTTGACCGATAAAGCGATGCTATTAATAAAGCGAAATATGAGTGCTGCAAAATTCATCGGCATTCCATATGAGGAGTTACAGGAATTCTCACACAAATAAAAATAGAGCAAATTTCAATAACTACAGAAATAATTGACAACCTTGTGACGTTGGTTCGTTGGTGTTGTTAAATAAAATTTATTGTTGTAATCGTTACACGACAAGGGTGGACATCAACTGCTGCTTAGTGCCACACCGTTACCAGGCAGCTAGCTGACCCACTCTACATATTGATGACATGACAATAATAAGTTACACGTAACAAACTATTATAAATATATATTATGATTAGTTTCAAATTAAGGAGGTTACGATAACAATATACCTGGAATGCAATTGTCACATTACCACACCTCCCCCGTTGAAGTAAAAACATATATTAAATATACTTTTTTTACTTTTAGCTATAATAGAGTCATAAAACTAACTTATAAATTTAACCTAAACCTAACATAATATCCTAATTTTTTGATTACCTAACTATAATTAACAATGATATGGCTTAACCCTATTTTTATGTATCTCTACGTGTTTACCTTTCATCTCAATATCTAAATTTGGATGCTTGCCAATAATTACTTTATAAGGTCTCAGTTACTTGTTACATTATTTTTACTCGGACTAAATCAGCTTCCATAACTTTTACTAAATTTTTATTATGATCTAATAAGTTTTTGCCAAAAATTATTAAATTATCAATGTAAATAAAACACGACTCATAATTAAGAGCCGCCATAGTTAATGGTCATTGCCCTCGAGAATGCAGTTGGACTTATCTTTAAGCCCATAGGTAACCTGGTAAGCTGATACTGGCCCGTGTTGGTGGTGAAGGCTGTGTATTCTCTTTAAGATTTTTCTAATTCAATTTGGTAGTATCCTTGAGCGAGATCCAAATGGAAAAAATACATTGCTCCAGAAAGCGAATCCAAGATTTTTTTAATGTAAGGTAATGGAAACTTCTCCTTAATACACTTATTTAACATGTAGTCTATTACCGTACACCATTTACATACTCCGTTTTCATTTGCTTCCTTGTATACGACTGGACTGACATATTTGGGTTTTAATTTCGCTCTTTTGCGAAAAAGGGAGACGATATGGTTTTATATATGCTGGCGTCAAATTATTTTCAAGTTGTATAGTATGTTGCAAACATTGGTCACGGTTAATGGGTCATTATGTAAATTTTGCAATAATATGTTTAACTGCATTTAAACAAAGAAGAAAGTACTTATTTGTTTAAATGGTTGCGTCTTACGGTTTTAAGTACCTCTTCTACCCGTTCTAGAGATTAATGTTTATCAGCAAATGACACAAGCTCGTATTGATATAGACAAGTTATTTTTGTATGAAAATTTCTAATTGTTATTAATAGGTTCCTGTCTGGTGGTTAAAATTTTCACTGGGATGGTTTTATTATTTGGTCGCGCAATTACTCCTTCAACGAACACATTTTTACCCATATCTTCTGGCAAAAATATGCAATCCTACGCGTCACCGAAAAATACCTAATTACTTCGCATCGCGGTGGTATGCTTATGTTGTTGTTAAATTTTGACTTCATTGGGGTTATTATTCTCTGTCTATTTACTAGCAATGAGGTGCAAACCATTTTATAATTAATAATGGCATTGTATTTCTCAAATAAATCTTTCCAATAACGCCATATACGTTACTGTCGAATTTATTCATTAGCAAAAATGTATGAGTAATACTACAGCCATTTACCTTAAGTTGTATTTCTGCTGACCCGTCCGTCTGAGTTGATCCAGAAATTCCATTTCCTTAATCTTATCATAAAAATTAATTTTGTGTACTTGTTTATCAACAAAAATATGACACTTATTGAAGCTCATGTATCTATAAGAAATTTTAAACATCTATTACCATTACTTAAGCTAATTAAATTTAAACTATTTATATTTAAAACTGCTGGTGTTATTAATTTTAATTTTTGATTATTGTAAGCCTCAAAAAATGTTTGTGACTGATTTTCTTCTTGATTACCACTTGCCTTATATACCTATCCAAATATTACCGGCTCGGTTACTGCCGTATCGGTAATTGTTAAATCGGCCGCGATTATTTTATTATGTATTAAAATTTTTCTTATTAAAGTAGCTTCTAGTAGAATTATCCTTGATAAAATTACAATTGGGTTGCCCGTAGTTTCTAGAATTATTAAAAAAATTTCTTAATATTGCCTAAAAAATTTCTTTGGTCACGTATATGAAATGCCGCTGGATTTTGTTAAACGTTTCATGATTCCTCCTTTACTTCGTTAATTAATCAAACGTTCGAACTGACATGCTTTCACTAGTGCGTAGCTCACTATTAGGGTGGGTCAACTAAATGTTTTTTTTTCAAAACAATTTCTTATAGAAATGAAAATATGCCAAATATGATCAAAAGTATTGTCCTAAAATATTTTTCATTTATTTTAAAAATAAGAAATTTAAAAAAATACCACTTAAATTAAAATACGTTTGAAAACTAAATAAATTACATGGCTTAAACTTATTTTGCATTTTTGTCGTCTCCCATCTTTATTATACTTTTTTTTTAGATTTATTGACTTTTAGTCTTTTTAAGACTATTTAGCCAGTTCATGATATTTATTTTTGTTTAATAAACAACTACAACACCCAAGGCTGTGACCGGGAATCGAACCCGGTACCGTTAGACGCAGATTGTTTACAGCTCTGTAGCTCAACCCACTGCGCCATCCTCGGCCCCTCTATTATACTTACTGAGGGACATTAACTGCGCAAACGTATCAGTACAGCTGCTAGTTTCTTTGCGGTAAGATCGCGCGTACTTATTGTAGGTTATGCTTATGGTTAAGCTTTATACATATTTTTAAAGTTTTTTAATGAAGAAAACACGAAAAGGTAGTAAGTGCCCTATTTTCGGTAATATTGAAGATATAAAAGACAATGTGTTACCAGCATACTATCACGTAATGAAATTTTATGAATATACAAGATATCACTTTAAGATTAAAATGGATAGCCGCACAGTGCCATCTTTTTCGCAAATTTTTGCGTTACCCACACACGTGTTATTCAACTGCTAAAAGCATTTCACTTCAAATGCAAAGTTTTAATAAAATCTTTAAAACGACTGTCACACATTAAAATAAATGTAGTTTAAAAATTCGAATCCGTAAATTAAAAATTGAAGCGCGGCAAAAGCATTTCTTTAGGGACGCTAGGAAATACTGCTGTTTCCAGTCCAGAAAGTTTGTCACCGTCTAGTGCTAGCGACGACAGAGGTCAGGACCATGTACAACTTGCAGACATACCTTTAACCTCGGAAGATCTTGGAAGCGTTTCCTTAACTTCGCACAAAACTTATTAGAAGAAGTCGATAAAAAGTTTCCCGGCCCTGTCAAAAATGTGTGATAGATACGGCGAGTCTGACAGAGGTGATGCTGCAATTGCCTTAGCTATTCTTTACGATATTAAGTCAGATATAGAGGTTATTGATAAATCTAAAGTACGTCGAGAGAGAAAAAAAGTACGAAATGAAATTTTGACAAAACAGACGTGTCCTATTGTACCAGCGGTATATTTTAATGTGAGAAAGGACAAAACTTTCACGATCGTGACTAGAGGCGCAAAACAAATATAAGAAAGTTGTAGTAGAAGAACATATATCAATCTTAAAATAACCAGACTCAATTTATCTTGGATACATCGTTCCAGCCCAGCACAGCAAAGAATATTTAAAAATCAATTTATGCATTTCTGTCATCGATGAATATTTCTATGAAAATCCTACTTACGGTTGGGTATGATGGAACAATAACCAACGATCTAAAATATGGTGGTGTAATAAGAGTATTTGAAAAGCGCATTAGAACATGAACGAATTGCCTCTAAGACACCTTTTTGCACATATTGATGGTGCAACAGCCGGTTCAACCACATTTACAGGCATTCTTGGTAAGTCGTTAGAGGACTGTGAAAAACTTTCAGTTTTTAACTATGAAAAGATAAAAAGCAAATTACCGGAGATAACTAAAAAAGACCTTAGTGGCGATCAACAATATTATTACGACAGCAGTAATAAATGGCCAGAGTTTAATTAATTTGGCAAATATATCTCCAGGAAAGTTGTCGCATGCCAAATAGCTTACGAAGGCCAACAGAATATTACGGCTTTATATTTCTGCCAGCGACCCATCTGTAAATCAAAAAAAATTGGCTATATTCTTAATTAACATCTACAGTCCTATTTGGTTTGAGATAAAAACCCATCCTTCATGCAATGACGGAATTGGAAATTGGAAATTGATCTTTAATTCAAGATATATTTCGCCTAATCTTAAACCAGTCGTAGATCCTGTTTTGAAAAAAAACAGTTGTTTTGCACACCTGGAAAATCTCCTCTTATCAATGCTAACAGATAATAAAAAACATATTCGGGAAATTGCCGCTAGAAGAATATTAAAGGCTCGAAAGTCGCCTCACCGCGTGTTTTTGAAGTGCCCAAAATTAACCTTGACGATAAATCTTACATTGATTTAATAAATTGGCAGCAAGAATATTTTGATCCACCACTTTTTCGCAACGAGACCAATGAGGCTCGAACTAGTAGGATTAGAGGAGTGTAACTTTCTTAAAGCTTCCGTGTCATACTCAGGCTGTCGAGCGTTCAGTTAGGATTGTGATAGAAGCTTCGTTGCGTTTGTGTAGCAAAAAAATCATCCAGTCAAAAATAAATTCCAGAAAAAATCTGTGGTGACTACAAATTTGATTATGAACTTTTTTATTTGATAAAATAAATAATATAAATGTATTTTGTTATAGTGCATTTTTCTTGCATACCCAACCTGGTAATTCAGATTTTTCACATTATTATCTTATTTTAAAGAAGGATCAAAAACAGCTCTATACTAAAAAGTTTAAGATCATTGCGCAGGCAGTCAATCAACTAAACTAGATTTTAAATAAGCCTTTATAATAGCACATTTAAATTACTATTATAATTTTAAAGCGCCAAATTTACTTTTTTCTATATAAAAATGACCCACCCTACTCACTATTTTGAATTCTATTTGCAAAAACATTAATGGCCCATTTTTCGTTTTCCTTTCCAAATGTTTCAATTGCGTCGGGGTTGTTATTTGCTTGAGTTATAGTAAGATCAGCCATTATTGTTTTTATTGATCTTCCATATTCCTTGAAGTTACAGCTTCCCTGCTTCGTTTAATGACGGTTTGTATAATTCTATACCCTCTATTAATTGGTGTACCCGTTCCAACAAACCTTTCAATTTAGGCAGCAAGCTAGTAGCTGTTTTAAAACTGAATGCCTCTGCCATGTTTACCTTAGTATGATCAACGCTAGTAATTTTTTCACCAACAATTTTATTTTCGAACCTTAAATTTAAAATGTTATCACCCTCTAAAATTCTACCCTTAATAATTTCAACATATTCTACTAATTTAACGAAGCCTAAATTCTGTGTAAACAGTCTTTAAATACCTTTAATTCCTGTAGCTTGCGTTAATTAACCTCTTCATAGTACCTTCTCTCAGTATTGTCCTTTTTTAGATTCGCAGGAACGCCAGAACCTTTTTATTTAACTTGTCCAAAGGTTCGATTTTAATCGGCATTACCCATTACTTAATTTACTACAGTTACTTATACTGTTTACCCACACACACAGACTGCTGGGCTGCTGGATTGCTGGGCTGCTGAACTTTTCTTAGGCTTGTTCCAGAGCCGCCTGCGATATTCTAAATTCCGATACATCGATCTCATGCCTTACCATTCGTTTTATTCCTAAACGAATTCTATACCAATAAACCCAACAATTGCTATTATTATTATAATAACGATAATAATCCACTCTGTCCTGTTATGATCGTTTTAAACAGATTTTTGTCCTGCTTCGTTATTTCCTAAGCCTGCAGGTTCTACAATAATTTGATTTCCCATTTCTTGTTGTATATCGTTTTTTCTCTTTTTCACTATTTCAGTAAAACTTTTACTGTCAGGCACATAAAGTAGTGCACTGGCAGGATCGCCATGTGATGTTGACTGGTTGGTGTTGTTAAATATTATTCGGAAATACTATTAAGGGGATTTATTGTAGTAATATTTACAGGACATCAACTGCTGCTGCCACACACCGCTAGCTGGCCCACTCTACATGACAATAATAAGTTATACTTAACAAATTATTACAAATATATATTATGATTATGATATATTATGATAATTCAATTGCCAGACAGATTAACATAACCTAAGTTTTGATGGAGAAAATGTGTATAGAAGTTAAAATAAATGTGGTAATCAGAAAGGTTTCCAAAATAAGTTCAAACGATTCAACATTTACCGAGGCGGTGGCATTACCAAAACTTGGGCGAAAAAGAAAATAAATCGCAAATATTTTTTTCACAGTTATTACACAGTAATTAGGGATGCCGGAAGTTTTAAATATAAATAATTTACATTTTATTAGCTTTAGTTATAATAATAAGTTTTTAATAGACACATGAGATTCAATAAGTATCATCTTTTTAAAATATATTGATAGGTTACAAAAAATTAATTTGTCCGACAAAATTAAAGTAAATGGAATAAAGTAAACCGGGACAACTGGATTAGCAGAAATATTGCTTATGGTAAATGGACATTAGGCTGGGCCAAAATAATTATTTTTGGAAATATCACTTGCCTTAGTTAAAAAAAGTTGTGAGAAGGGTATTTGTATAAGCTGTTTTTTTTTAAATTTTTAAAAATAATTTTAACCGCGTTCCCAGGGGATTGAATGTTTTTAAAACTAAGACAATTTTTTTTAACTTACATTAAGACAATTACTTACATTTTGAATTTGGCATATTGAAAAACTATAAGGTATTAACTCACTTTTAATAAAAAAAAATCCTAAGTTCTAATATGCAGCTCTTCGATTAAAAAAAAAGCCGTGAGGCGCGGTGTAAAATTAAAATATATAAATATTTTTTTTGCCTTTTTCGGCCCAGCCTAATGGACATAGCATTTGACGGTGTTGTAGATTAAGATTTCTTTAAGAAACACAATGCGATTATAAATTACAAAATGTATCTCGTTGGTAGTAAATAAACAGAGGATAATTATTCCAATAAGGTCAAAATTTAACAACAAAAGCATGTCACCGCGATGCGAAGTAATTATGCATTTTTCCGTAACGCAGGAAAATGATTGCCTAGTATTACCAGAGGAGATAGGTAAATATGTGTTCCCTGAAGGAAAAATTGCCCAAACAAACGATAAACATTTTTCCAGTAAGAATTTTAAAAACGTGACAGTACCATAAAACTATTCCAAATTTTTATCCAAAAATAACCAGTACGGGGTCATATCTTTTACTGATCACAATTCATCGGTAGAACAAGTAGAAGAGATACTTATAGTCGTTTGACTTAAACATCTAAATACACAGCCTGTACCACTAACACGGGGCAATACCAACTTACTAGGTAACCTATGGGCTTAAAGATAAGTCCAAGTGCATTCTCGGGGGCTATGACCATTGCCATGGCAGGCCTAAATTATGAATCAAGTTTTATTTATCTTAAAGACCTAATAATTTTTGGCAAACAATTTATTAGACCATAACATAAATTTAGTTAAAGTAATGAACCGAATTGCCAAAGTATGTTTAAAACTAAGTTCAAATAAGTATGATTTTCTTCACAAACAAATGTTGTACTTGGGCATGTAATTTCGTCAAAAGATACACCTGACCCTAAAAAAAATTAGAGCGATCAAGACCACAAAGAGATTTGTAGCATTTACTAATTACTACAGATTAATTATACCAAATTTTGCTCTATTAAATGTTTTAAGTAATAATTGTGTAGATTTTATTTGGAGAGCAGAATGTCAAAAAACAATTAAAAGTTTAGGTCATTGAACCTCCCACTTTACAATATTTAAATTTTTCAGATGACAATATATTCATATTAAAGACTGATGCGTCAGGATTAGCCTTAGGCGCAGTTCTATGAAAAGCCAATAGCATATGCGAGAAGAACATTAAACAAGGCGGAAAAGAATTACTTCACTATTGAAAAAGAACTTTTGGGAATTGTATGAGTCGTGAAGGATTTTTAACCATACCTGTATGGGCGTAACTTTCTTATTCAAATAGACCATCGACCACTTGTAAATATATTTAGAATGACTAATCCATCCAGTCGACTTTCTAAATTCAGACTTGTATTGAAAGAATACGATTTGGACATTAAATATATTAAGGGTAAAACTAATGTGATGGCAGACGCGTTATCACGAATGTATCTAAGGTACTCTTAATTTGCTTACATGTGCACAATTAAAAATTGAAACCAAATCTAAAGTGAATACAAATTCAGCCAAGTCGACTAGGACTGATCACCCTGGGCTTGTTAAGGTACTGAAAAAAAAAACAAAACTGCTAAAGAATTAAAAATATTCAAGGTTGATAAATTTAACGAATGTTTAAAAAATCTAAAGAAACAAAAAACTTGTAATAATACTATTATTTACGATGAGATAACAAATACTATATTAATGGCAGAACCTTGCTCAGCGTCCAAACTACGGTTGTCGTTAAAAGATTGCCGAAAATTATGCGCAAAAGAATTTTTTAAAAAGCTGGTATAGTTAAAAATAAAGAGGCTGCAGCTATGATTAATGAAATTGTTAGTAAAACAAATGAATTTAATGGAAAAGGTATACAAATTTTGATTCTAAGGGATGTTCAAACAATAAATGATTACCCAACTAGACAACTTATTTTAAATGAATTTCATATGTCATCTACCGGAGGTTATGGTGGAGTTAATAGAATGGGTAATAATATAAGAAAGTACTATTTTCGGAGTGGAATTTTTAAGGATGTTGAAAATTTTGTACAGAAATGCGATTATCGCCAAAGATATAAAAACTCTAAGAATAATATTGCACCACTTTCAACACCTACAACAGCGGTGCATTTGTAAAAATATTTTTAGATTTAGTTGGTCCTAGCGAGGCAGTTACAGAAGGCAACAGATATATTTTGACTATACAATGCGATCTGTCACCAATTACTAAATCCGTCATACCGTCCCTTGAATAGTTCATCAAGTTTTATTGACTCATTGTTTTTAACTAATATTAAATCACCTTTTTACCTAATAAGAGTACTACGCTAATCAAAAACATTATTTCGTTTAACTTTTAAATTTATAAATTTGTTATTGTTTTTATTAATTTTTGACGAGCTATCTTGTAAAGCGTATCTAGGTGTCCTTTCAATATTTGATGAAATTCGTGCAACTTTAAAAAAAAATAACTCATAAGGACTATACTTTGTTTCAGTATGTACATTTGTACCTATTGTAAATAAAACACCAAAATGGTAGCCAATTACTCCAAGAATGTTTGTACTTTGCAACCTGCATTCTTAAGTATAATCCCCTAGCGTTTCATGGTGGTAGGCAGTTGTATTTAACTTTTTAATTTCTAATATTTTACAGCATTCACTGAAAATTCTAGACATAAATTCTTTACCTTAATCCTTAAAAATTTCGCTGGTACCCCATATCTTAAAATAACAATTTACAAATGCAGTAGCTACGGTGACAGTTTTTTTGTTTAGAATAGGATAGGCCTCTTCAAATTTTTACAGATCGCATTGAATAGTCAAAATATATTTGTTGCATTTTGTGTCTGCCTCGATAGGACCTACTAAATCTAAAAATATGTTTTTAAAAGCATATGATGCTATCGTAGTTATTGAATGTGGTGCCGTATTAGTGTTTGGAAATAATAGCATTTTCGTACAAAATTTTCAACATCCTTTAAAATTTTCAACATCTCCAAAAATAGTACTTTCTTATATTATTAGCCATTCTATTAACTCCAGCATGCCCTCCGGTAGGTAACATATGAAATTCAAAATTACCTCTTAGTTCTGAAGCATAATAACCATTTTATCTAATTGTATCATTAATAAACGCATTCTATTGTCCATTTTCGCATTTTTTTTTGTTTTTAGCGCTTTTATTTATTTACAAGATTACAGTTGCAATTGTGCTTTTGTTTGGTGGAAAAACACCAATATAAAGATGAAAGTGAAAAGAAAAAAGATTATTTTAATTGGGTTATTTATCAATTTATAGTTTAAATATAATATATAGGGCAGGAAGACGAAAGTCGTTAGCCATTTGGATTTCCAATAAAGTTTATTATTATTATTATTATTATTATTATTATTATAATATATAATTAATTTTCTTTGCGTTAAAGACGATGAGTTAAAGGATCCCCCAAACCAAGCAAAAAAATTCGCACTAGCTGCGATAGATTTTGCGAAGATGAAATTTACCTAAATACCACAAAGTTTTTAACTTATTTTTTTTCAGTATTATTAGATTGATAATTTTTAGCTTGGTTTGGGGGATCCTATAAGAATGTTTACAAATTTTTCGAGAACAGCTTAGTACGATTTTGGAGTTATAGAATTTTTTTTATTGTTAAACAAACTAAGAAATTAAAAATTATGGTTTTTATTTAGCTTTTAAAATTGTATTTAACCTTTAAATATTTTTTTCCGGATTTTGTATTTTAATACTCCTATGTGCATTGCAAACAAATTTAAAAGATGTACTTACCGGCTTTATAATATCCGTCCTTTCAAAAAATCCATCTTTTCTTCGATTCCAAAAAGTTAAATGTCCTTTACCGTGCGTTATCATAAGATTGTCATCTAGAGGATGAAATACAGCTCCAGTTAATTCTTCTTGAAGAGTCTAAAAGTAGCACAAATTTAATAGGAATCCTTATATGATTTAGTCTTGACATGAAAAAACAAAACAAAAAAAAACGAAGCTATGGTTTTATTTTTTGTTTGAATATATTAGTTTAGTTTAAGTGACCGCGGATACATTTAATGCCGGGCAGCCACTGCGAGCAAAACAAAACTAAGCTATGCGAAGCGAAGAAAACGTTACCCAAACTAAGTTTGGGCGGCCACTGGTTAGAAATTTAATTAAAACGCATTTTCTTTCATAAAATATGTAAAACATTGCATATACAGTATGTTCGATTTAAGACCGCAACACCCCATTATTTTGGAACGCCTTGAGTGATTTTAATAAATTTTTTAACTATGACTATGCTTGAGGAGCTCTATATTTGATAATTTGGAAAAATTTTAAATTTTCTTCTAGTCCTGCTAAGATCTGCTTAATGGATAAAAATTCAGAGAACGACGATTAGGCAATTTAAAAAAAATGGATTCAGACCTGCCTCAAATATATTTTATAAAGGTTTCTACTTACTACATTTAAATTAAATTTTAGTTTAAAAATATGAAAATAAGTTATTAAGTATTTTTAGAATATTCTTTTTTTTTCTTTTCGGGGGGTTTCGTCCACAAAATCCCCTCGTTAGATATCTGACGTAGCTCTAAGTTTAATGAATACTTTATCTTTTTTACTTATGAGTCATGATGGACTTTTATACATAACAATATTTTATTATTTGTTTGCATATTTTTGTTAGGTTTAGTTTAAGTAGCAGCGTAATTAGTTTAAGTAGCTGATTTACGAAAAACTTATCTTAGCTTATCTTAGTTTCCATTCGCTCCCAATGGCCGCCAGACATGAATCATGATATGACAAAATCAAATAGTATTTAAAAAAACTAGAGACCTAAAAAATAGAGTTAAACTTGAAATTCTCATGATTTAGTCATAATAAATTAATGATGCGCAAAGATGATAAGACCAAAATCCTTAAAGTTGATAGTTTTAGAACTAGTTAAATTTACGCAGCTATAAACTAAATAAAATCGAAATTCTAGGTGCTTAAATCACACAGGAAATTATAGTTCTTACAGAGACAGCTACACAATAAGAAACTACTTATTATAATTTAAAAAACTACAACAGTGTCCGCTCAATATAAATATTAAAGGGGAGGGGTGTATTCACATAAACTCTCTTAAGCTACCACACAAGCAAAAATATAAACCACAAGAATGAAAACCATATTATAAACGTAACCTTAACCGAGCTCAAAATCAACATCTGTGAAATCTACATTGATATTTTGATGAAAAAAGCAAAGCCATCAATAAATACATAAACTAAATGACCTCCCAAACCATCAAAAATATACAAGATTTAACTCGCATGGTCCAGATTCCATGGTTAAACATGGAAAAACAAATAAAAACACGCCAAATAGTGATTTCAAACAAATTAATTTTGACTATACCTATACAAAAAGATTTAAGAAATTGTAGTATCAAATAAGCATGGATGACTAAATACCTTCTTAAAATAATAAAATTGTGTAACAAAGCTTATAAGAACATGGTAAAAAATTGAGAGATTAAAAAAATAATTTTAAAATAAAAAAAAATTATGGTAAAATATAAAAAACGAAAATATAACAAACACAAAATAGAAGCTGCTAATAAAAATTTTATCAATTATGGAAAATAATAAAAAAGACATATACACTGAGAACAATGAGACAACTGAAATCAAATGGGTTGTCAGAAAAAAAAACAAAAACAAAAACAAAAGATCCTGAAAAAATTGCAAATAGCATACATCATTTTATGCAAAAATTGGTGGCACCAAACTGGCCCATGTTATTGAACAAAAATCCATTAATTTTGTACCTAAGAACTGTCATCGGGTTATGACAACCTCAAACTACTCCTAAAAGATCTGCCAGGTAAGCTTATAGTAGAACCTATTAACAAATACATGTGTATTAATGTATTCAAAATGGATGTTATCCGAAAGGACACAAAATAGTAAAAATCACTTCCATTTGGAAAAGTGGAAATAAACAAGACTCAATTAAAAATAAAACAATGTACCTATTTAAAAAGTTAAATACAACAGACTATCTGACCATATACAACACCATTTTTTTACGCAATCATAAAATGGATTCAGAAAAATAAATTGTCAACAAAGGTCATGATCAACCTGTTAGATTATATGTAGAAAACTCGACAACTTTCACAATTAATACTGTAATTACTATCTCTCTAAAAATGAATTAGTCAAAAATTACTAATTTGATAGTTATAAGTGGCTGCTTTTTCACTTGTACCATGGTTAACCATGGAATACCAGGGTATCCAAAAATTTAACATCGAATTCTTATGTAAAATTGTCCCCTGAATCCGAAAATACCGTCAAAAATTATGAAAGTGGAGCAGTTTTTGAAATTCATATTACATGGAAAATTGACTATATCTCAAGAACTGTTTCACTTTTTTAACTTTTGACGACATTTTCAGATTTTTGAATATCATGGTATTCCATGGTTAACCAGATTACAAGTGAAAAAGCAGGCACTAATAACTATTAAATTAGTCATTTTTGACTAATTCATTTTTAGAGAGATTAGTATCACTATAGTTTTATAAACAAGTTAGTCTCGTAATTTTTTTTTACATGTTTTACGCCGTGTTTTTCGAAGTGCAAAATTATGAATGAACTGATTGCAATCTATTGAACTTAGAATTTTTGCCTCTATAGATAATATAGCCAAAGAATTCAAGCGACACATGGTTGATTGATATACAAATCCTAAAGTATTTCAGTGTAAAACTGATCAATTGTATAAACGGCGTCATTGCGAGCTGACCAAAGTGTCATTGAAAGTGATTTGACAGTTAATATTTGAGATTTTCCGCAGCAAATTTGAAGAATCTCCTAACGACTCGTAGATACTAAAAGTTATATAAACTCTAAAGATCATTAAAGTAATCGGCAGCTGTTGAACAGCTTTCAACCGCATGATATATTAGTGCCAACCAAATTTAAATAATGTGCAGCACAAGGAACGTATTCGGCATATTCGTTGCGATTTATTATCAACTGTTGGAGCCCCGCATATATCCCTGACATATTCCTTGCAGTATCATATGACTGACCTCGACAATTTTTTATTTCAATTTAGAGTTTTCAGCGTAGAACTTACAGCATCATCCATATCAACAGCCTTGTGGCCTACATTTTGTAAAAATGTCACAAAGCGCTCTACGTTATTCTTCACGTATTGCGGTATGAAACATAGTTGATCGACATGTGAAATGATAGAGTAGTATTTCGCATAAGTAACATCGTCTTAAAGACGAAAATTCGTCCAAATATTGATCGCCTCAAAAGTCGATCGTCTTCAAAAGACGATCAACTTGAATTCGAAAAACGAGAAAATATCGACCAATGACGATCACAATAGAAAGACATTGTTTTAAAAATAAGTATTTAAAAGACAATTGTGATATGTAATCGTCATTCGTCGAATTTTAAGTACTAATTGTTAATGGTTGAAAATAAGAATAATTTCGAAAACCGTTAGTAGTACGAAAAATGGTCAAGAAATCAAATTTGCCCTATAATGAATGGGGATTTAAAAAATAATTTTTATTTTAAAAAATAGCAGTGGCTATTAGGTACTGTTAATGCTTAGAAGGCGTGTGCCAAATTTTATAAAAATATCTAGGAATTTATTAAAGTTATGATAAAAAACGATTGTTTTCTTAAAACTTTAACACCCTGTAACTCAAAAATTAAGAGGTTTAGGTCATAGGTTTATTTAAACTTTTTTTCTTAAAATCAACTAAGGATTCACACCCTTAAGGTTCAGCATCTTATTCTGAAACACCCTGTATAATATAATTTTTATCAAGCTTCTGTTCAAAAATTATAATATATAAAATATTGTAAAAATTCTAGTTTTAAATTTTTGAAAGCATTAAATAATTATTTAATTTTAAAAAATAATTTTATTGCAAAGTTTTAAATTTTTGTAATCATTATTTAATTTATAAAAATGTTATAATAATTTTAAATAATTAAATAATTAATGCAATTTTTTTGCAATTTTGCATTTGAAAATAAACAGTATGGATAGCAGCAGCTAAACAATTATACAATTAATAATTAACTTAACTTTGGTTAATGAATCAGGCTAAATTTAGACTAATAAATAATAATAATAATATTAATAATAATAATATATATTTATTCATCAATAAATTACATGAAAAGTCAGTGGTGTATAATGAAAGAAAAAGTATAAGTATAAAAAGTATAAAAGGGTGTATAAGACAAAAATTTTTACACATAGTTAAAACGAAACAACGGTTACAAAGCATCATCACATATTTAGAGTCCTTTTATCATGTACTCTTCCAGGGAATAAAAAACATTTTCCTGGAGTAGTTTTTTGACTTGGCGTGAAAACCGCCCACCCTTCAGTTGTTTTAGAGGACTAGGGAGCTTGTTGTATAGCTTAGCGCACCAATAATAAGTGGTTTCTTGTGTTTTCTTATATTTATGTAGCGGAAGTAAAATATCGTTTCCATGTCTTGTATTTCTCTGGTGTATATCACATTTTTTTATAAATTTTTTTGTATTGTTGTTTACATATGTAAGGCACGTAAGTATATACACTGACGGTATGGTAAGTATTTTTTCGTCCTTAAAAGCATTTCGACAGCTGTCAGATTTTCTCATATGAGACATTCCTTTACAAATCGTACACCTATTTTGACATCAGGGTTTGGATTCGCATGAAATTTTTTTTACCGCTTCTATTCAGTAAATAAGCAGATACGTGTATCAGGTTTTCTGTAAAAAATTTGTTTTTTCAGAGATATGTTGATATAAAGTTTTTATGAATTGCGATAAAACGATAAATTCTCTTCTACATAAAACCCATTATCTCCGGTTCTACTGATCGGATCGATTTTGTTTTTTTTTTGTTTTAAACCTTATTGAATAGGCTTTTCAAATAAATAAATTAATTTTTTTTTTAAGTATAGGGAGTTAATAACAGATTAATTTTTTAAACTAGTTTTTCATGTTTGCCCCCTCTATAAAATAAAAGGAAAAAAATACTGTTTTATGCGCTTTTTCTTTATCTACAAAATACATTTTTCAGAACAGTGGAGACTCTTTTGGATCGGAAGATATTAAACATTTTCGAGCGCGTGACAGGACTGTCAAGCGCGTAATATTCAAACGTATTAGTGCATGTGGCGGGTGACGTGATATTTTGTATAAGAGTGCCATGATTCGACATCTTTTAATTGGTGACTTATTTGTGCAAATGTCAATTCTGCCAGTTAATAAATTTACTCATTAATTGGAGTTTGTATTATTTAAAATCTAATTTATTTAAAATTATTGAAAACCTTTAAAATCAGAATTAATTTACAAAAAGCGCTGGTATTTTTTTAAAACGATGTATGAGTTTACACTATCCTAAATAGTGATGCTGCGAGACGAGACGAGACGAGAAAAGTCCTTCTCTCGTCTCGTCTCGTGCAGCGAGAGAAAATGGGTCTCTCGTCTCGTCGAGAATACTCTTTTCTCGCTCGAGAGTGCCTTTCTCTCGTCTCGTCTCGTTTCTCTCGTGGTAAAAGTACCTATGTATGAATACAAAAATTATTTGCAATTAAATACGAATTCGTTTATATTTTTTCTATATAAATTTAAACTGGAAATAAAAAAAAATTGTGCCAAGACCACACTGATAAAGTAATACTTTTTACGCCGAAAATGTCGCACATTTGAATCAAATGGTTGGATCTATGTGGAGTAGTTACATCTATAGATGTAACTGTAATACTGAGAAAAATGTTTATTGCTCCCAAATAAAAAAAATATTTAAATATGGAACAAGGGTACAGTATATTTATCCTAAATATATTTTTATTCCCGACACATAAAGTTTTACTAAAGTATATTTATCGTTATTATTTCGACTATTTAGAGGTAATAAACAATATATTCACTATTAATAAAAGGATTAGCTACACAGTTTATTTGTCCCATTTTTTTTCTCAGTGTAGTATATAGGCGCAGTAGTTTTCAGATGGATGGATCAAATCATCCATCCATCTGAAAACTACTGCGTCTATATGATGTAACTACTCCACATAGATCCAACCATCTTGTACCTACTGCGCATGTCCGTCATTTTAAATCCGCAATTTTGTTTTTTGAATGGATATCAAACTCTTAATCAGGGACCCCATAAATATCTAAATACTAAATTTTACCCAAACCATTAAAGCCGAACGACAAATTTTCGTCATATTGGATCAGCCATTTTATTTTTTGAAGAAATGGATATCAAATTTGTAATCAGCCCCTCAAAAACCACATGTTGTTGATAAGTTCATTGAATAAGCAATGCTTATTAAGCATACGGGTTGTTTAATAGTATAAGGAGTGCCATAAATGTGCTTATACAGGGTAAATTTTAAAAATTAATATTATTTTATAAGTAATTTTTTTCTTGGTTAACCTTAAGTTGTGTTATAAAATAATAAAACGTTATACAGGAACAAATTTTGTTTATTATGAAATGCGAATAATGTTTTCATTGGTCCAAATAAATATCGCAAAATTAAAATTTTTATGTAAAAAAATTGTTTACTTATTACCGGAATAATCGAGAGAACGAGAGAGATCGAGAGAAACGAGAAATTCTCGAGCGAGAGAGGACATTCTCTCGTCTCGTCTCGAGCCTTTTTTTCGAGAGAAAATCTCCCTCTCGTCTCGTCGAGACGAGACGAGACGAGACGAGAGGCGAGAATCTCTCGTATCGGCGGCATCACTAATCCTAAATGTGTTAGCGTTTCGAAGATGTCTGATTAGGGGGTGTCCATTAATTACGTGAGTCAATTTTAGCGATTTTTTGACCCCCTTCCCCCTTGCTGAGATGTCGTGAGATTTGGCTCAACCCCCTCCCCCTAATCTCACGTGAGATTTTAAATAATGCTTATTTTTAATGTTTATACGTTAAACTGCTTGATTCTGTTGGATTTATTAAAAAAACATACTTTGTTAAAAATTACGTGATATTTGCCGAGACCCCCCACTCTCCCTTACGTAAGAATTGATGAGATTTGGCTTGACCCCCTCCCTCCCCTAAACGCCTCACGTAATTAATGGATGCCCCCTTACGGCTTGTACCGGTCAAGCGCTCGAAAATATTTAATATCTTCCGATCCAAAAAAGTCTCCATTTTTCTGAAAAATTCATTTTGTAGAGTAATAAATAGTGCATGGAACAGTATTTTTTTAATTTTTTTTCATAGAGGGGGCAAACACAAAAAATCTGTTTATACAAAAAAAAATATTTTTTTCATATAATAAACAAAACACAAACTTTTTAAATATTTATCTAAAAAGACTATGTAATATGGTTTAAAATAAAAAAAAATGAAATCGATCCGATCAGCAGAACCGGAGATAATGAATTTTAAGTACAAAAGAATTCAGCATTTTTTCAAATTTTATCAAAAGTTTAAATCAATATATCTTTGGAAAAATAAATTTTCTGCAAAAATTCCGATATAGGGGTCGGCTAAATTTATGAAAAGATGCTGTAAAAAAAAATTAAGTCATTTTAAAAATTTGAAAAAATATGTTTTCTGTAATCCGTACGATATGTAAAAGAATGTCTCATATGCAGTAATGTCCTTACTGCTTTTTTTTGCAAAACAAATATTTCTTGCAGTTTAGACGTTGCTCCCCAGACTAAAATGCCATAGGTAGCAACTGAATGAAAATAAGAAAAATAAGCCATTCTTGACATTTGAGGGGTGCATACCTGTCTAAGTCTTCTTATGACATAGATGGATCTGGAAAGTCTCTTGCTCATTTCGGTGGTATTTTTGTTCCAGGATAAATTAGTTTCCAAATAAACTCCAAAAATTTTTCCTCTTGATGTTCACCTACACCAAAGGTTAGCTTTTTTGTTTTTTCCTGGTTTATTTTTAATTTATTTGTTTCAAACCATTCCCTTGATTGTTCGAGTACTTTATTTAATTTTTCTTCAGCTTCTGAGTTGGTTTTTGCTTTTATTAAAAAGGATGTGTCGTCTGCATAGCAGCAGGTTTGTTGGGTATTTATGTTCCACACAAGGTCATTGAGGTAAATGATGAAAAGGACTGGTCCGAGTACTGAACCTTGTGGAATTCCACAATTTATTGAAGTTTCCTAAGAAAATTCTCCTTTCCATTCTACCGCCTGTTTTCGATTTTCCATATAAGATTTTATTAACTTAGCGGGGACTCCTCTTACTCCATAGAAGTTTAATTTTTCTAACAGGATTTTGTGTGATATGGTATCAAAAGCCTTACTTATGTCACATAGAGCCATTTTTATAACATATTTTTTGTTTACTCCTTCATAAATATTTTCTAAGACCTCCAGTAAAGCAGTAATGGTTGACTTATTTGCCCTGCACCCATGTTTACAGGTGGTGAGGTAATTATTTTTTTCAAAGTATTTTATTACTCTATTTTTTATGATGATTTCTAATATTTTTGAAATGGACGGTAAAATTGAGATTGGTCTATAGTTAGAGCAACAATTTGGATCTCCTTTTTTAAGAATGGCCTTTATTTTTGCATTCTTCAGCTCCTCTAGGAATACTCCTTCCTTAATACATTTATTGAATAAAAATGCCAAAGGCTCTTTGATTGAATGTTTAATGTTTTTTAGTAGGCTAGTTGAAATACAGTAAATGTCCTTGGTTTTTTTGTTTTTTATGTTGTTTATTATTTTTATAATTTCTTCTTCTGATGTTTCAAAAAAATAACAAGATTTATTTGTGTTTACAGATTTTGTAAGAAAGTCAGTTGCCTTTTTGTTCGTTTTTGGTATTTCTTTGGCTGTTTCATCACCTATGGTGCCAAAAAAGTTATTTAGGTCAGTTGCCGTTAAATAGTTTTTTGCTTCTAATGTTCCTTTGCCTTTTGTTTCTTTGTTAATAACTGTCCAGATTGCCTTATTTGTGTTTTCTGAGTTTTTTATATAATTTTCATTTTGTGTAGCTCTGATTTCCTGGATTTTTGCAGCATAGGTTTTCCTATAGGCTTTGTAAGCTGTTGTTGAAATTTCATCTTTTTTTACTTTGGCTATTGTTTCCAGTGCATCCAGTGTATTTTTTACTTTTTGTAGTTCTTTATTGGGTTTTTGTTTATTTTTATTTATTATCTTTTTTTCTTTTTCGGGAAACGTGTCCTCAAAAGTTTTTTCTAGAATATTATGGAAGTATGTATATGCTTCTGCAGCTCCCGTTTGTTGTCTAAGACTACTCCATTCTATTGACTGCATTCTGAAGTTAAAAAGGTAAATGTTTTCTTCAGAAAAATCTCTGTACTTAGTAGTTTTATGTTTATTTATTGGTGCTTCAATAGGTTTATCTGTCATTATAATTTGGGCCATGTGGTCTGATATTAGTAAATCAATAGTTTTTTTATGTGTTATATTTTTTCCTCCAAAATTAATAAATATGTTGTCTATACACGTACTTATTGTGTTTGATATTCTGGATGGTTCCTTCATTACCTTTTCCAGTCCAAAGGATGATAAAATATTGGTTAGATTTAGGTTATCCCTTGATTCCACTTGGAAATTGATGTTGAAGTCTCCTGATAGGTATATGTGCATGTTTGTGTACTTTTGCGTTATGAAGTTCATCAGCTCTACCATTTTTTCCAGAAATATTTCCATGTTTCCTAAGGGGGATCTGTAGATTGAGAGAAATATTGTTTTTAGACTAAGAGCTTCTATAGCGGCAATTTCGAAGTGCTTTTCCAATGAAATATTTTTTATATCTTGATTTTCTTTATATTCAATTTCGTCTTTTAATAGTATTAAGACTCCTCCATTTTTATAGTTTTCTACAGAAACAGCTTGCTATGGTATAGTTTTCCAACTTAAAACTGTCTTTTTGCGATTCTTTTAGCCAATGTTCTGTTATAGTAGCTACGTCTATGTTTTTTTGTTTTAGTAATAGATTTACTGCATCTATTTTATTAAAAATTGATTGTATGTTTAAATTTAGAAACACAAGGTTACTGTTTTTTGTAGTCTGGTCGAAAAAACCAAAATTTCTTTATGATGAGATTTTCAGGCCATATTTCTGGTTTTAGCACTTCATCTTTTATGCTATACTGCATGCCTATTTTAAATGACTTGTTTTTACTTGTGCTGCTTTCGTGTTTTTTTATTTCGCTGATTTCAAAGTTTTCGTTTGGGAATTTCGAAATAAGATAATCTTTGATATGTTTTTCGGTTGTTTCGGGTCTAGCTCTTCCTACATAGATCCATTCTTTTTTCTCTGTTGCTTTAAATACTATATTTTCTTCTGGTTTAGCCGATCCTGTTATTTTTAATCCGGTATTAATTTTGGTTTCATGATTGTTTATTTTGTTTTTGTTTACATTTGTTTTTTGTCTGTCATCAGTTTTGTGTGTGTTTGTTTTTGGTGCTGCAGGCGCCGCCTGTTGGTAGGTAGAATTATTTTCTTTATTGTTGGTATTTGTTTTTGTAGTGATCTTTTCTTTGATTTCTGTCAGTTCAGTTTTTTCTTTTGTCTATGTTGATTTCTTTATGTTTAGAAGTTCGGAAATTTGTTCCTTTTGTAGTTCTATAATATATTCCTTATCGGCTATTATTTCAGATTTGTCTCGTAGGGCACTTTTTTTTTCTTTAATAATTTGTTTTAAAAAGTTTACCTCGAGTTTAAGCTGTGCTATTTTTCCATCCAGTGTTTCTGTTCCCAGTGCATCTGTGTAGTTATCTTCGCAGCATATAGCTTTATCCTGTGTTACTGGGATATTTTTTAAGTCACAACAATGAAGAACATTCTCACAATTTTCACATTCCACTGTATTTGTTAGGGCTTTTCTATTACACAATTTACAAAGTTCTTTGTTTACTTCTAAAACATGACCGAGTGTAGCCATTTTGAATTTACTTATATATAAAGAACCGTAAAGAATATATCATTGGTACCTATGTATTAATAAATAAAATAAACTGTGTATGAAAAATATATATTTTAATATTTAATATATATTGATGCCAAAATAATAAAAATAAAATAATAAAAACATACAGTTTTGTGTCTTATGATAAGACTCTTATCCCATCGGCATTGCTTAATATTATTTAAATATCCCAAAAATTCACCCCTAAATTTTTTGTTAAAGAGTAACATAATTAAACTAATTCAAAACAAAACGGATTTGCAAAAATCATCACAGCACAATATATTCCAAAAATAACCGAAGAAATCGCCCCTTAAATTTTTGCTCAATTTTAAGTGATCACCTTGTATATTAATGATTTAAAAATTACTAAAAATTTCCATTAAAATTTTTTAATTAAAAGAATTTTAAAATTATAAAATAATTATACAAATTATAATATATATTTATATATATAGTGTAAGTTACTATAGTAAGAATACTTTCTATTAATAATTATAATTTATACATTAATTTAAAAATCCTTGTTCATTAAAAGAGATCGCCTAGTTTTAATATTGTGAAATTCACGATAACTCCTTTAAAAGACGATTGCAAAAGGCGATCTTCATTTACTGAAGACGATCTAAGCAATCGATCGTCTTCAGTAAATGAAGATCGCCTTTTGCAATACACAATCGCCTGATTTGTATGACGATCGTCATTTTATTTAGATGATCATCAATTTTACAATGACGATCGCGTATTTTTATTGACGATCGTCAACAAAAATAACAGGCGATCTTCTATTTTAAACGACTTTATAGGCGATGTCATCAATATTTGATGATATCGTCTAAAAAATCGTCAATAAAAGAGGATAGTCAAAAAAATTCTAGACGATACTTTCCCATGGGTAGTACTACCGATGCCTTTATTTCCGAATCTAGAAATATGGTCATCCAAAAATGGATCGAATTCAGCTATCAACTCCAAATACATCAAGTAATTTCCGTTGTGAAGAGAACCAAACTTTTCGTAGTGCCCTCTAAAAGGCAATCCACGCAAAGATAAACCCTTGATTACGGCGACAACTTGTTTTAAAACATTTTGCCAGTGGGCCACTTCTTTATCACATTCAGCTGTTAGAGCTTTGTCAATTCTACTCAAGGCAAATTTAAAAGATTTCATGCACCTTTGATGTGTCTTGGAATTTTCGTGCTTACTGATTCTTACGTCTGCGTTAACGCAAAAAATGTTCCAATCAGTAAATCAATCTTTGTCTGCAAAATATGATTCGCCGCCAAAAAGAAAACATGGAGCACAATATACGGATCCTTTGCTTTCAGAATGTACTAACCATACACATTGAGTTTTTCACCATTCAAAAGTTTTCTCTCGAACAATGATAAATTTAAATATGGCACGACATCATTATTTACCCTTTTCGAACGCGCAAAATCGAGATCGAGAGCAATATAATCACGGAATGAGTCTTTTTTCCTTCGAACCCTGTTGGTTTCGTAGGTTCTGAGGACCCTCCTCCAGAAGTTTCTTGATCACCAATCTCATCTACGATAAAATATTGGAGATTATCTTTGAAACCGACAGCCCAAAAAGAAGCGTTATATCTAGTGTAGTCGACAAAAATTAGCTGCCCCTAAAATCTGCCGCCCTAGACAGCTGCCTACCTTGCCTACCCGGTACATCCGCCACGGACCATACACTATAACCAGAAAAATGTACACAAGTGTTGAACAGACAGAAAGTAATATCCAAGATATCAACTTGGGAGTATCTTAATATTAATTGATTAGAATGGTGAATAAGGATACTTCCGTGCTTGTTTATGTTTTTATTGCGACTAGTTTCGATCTATATTAGATCATCTTCAGGCAAACTACAAAAATATGTAAAATTATTATAAGGTTATGTTAACATGATAATGATAAAATTAATAGTTTGAAGTAACAATAGAATGGTTGATAACAAATATTAAATACTTACATGTCAATAATTAAAATATTTGTAAAAAGGTTTAACAATTATATTAAATATATGCATAACGATAGTTTTAGGTTCTGATTAAAATTATTTACAATATACAATAACTTGTTAATGTTGTTTGAAGGACGATGTATTCTGGGTTGCCGGCAGCTATAGGTGTTTAAATATAGGTTCAAATTGTAGTTCTATTTGTTCGTTTAATAAGTTATTTTTGTTTGTTTTTTTATGTTTGTATGTTTCAAAGGCTTCTAATAGAGTTAGCTTTAGTCCTTTTCCTTCTTGGTGTATTAGTTTTATGTTTTTCAAGTCTTTAAAATTGTGCCCGCTTATTTCTAAATGTCTACCAAAGTTTGATGTTTTTATGTCCTTTATGTGTTCTTTAATTCTGGTTCCGAGTGTTCTTTCTGTTTCTCCTATATATTCAGCATTACATTCTTTACATTTAATTTTATAAACACCGCTTTTATTGAGGTAGTGTGTGTTATCTTTTCCATTTCTTAGGTGGTTAATAATGTTTTATTTTTGTGATGTGGCGCTATTAATTTCAAATGCTTTAAGGATTTTAGATATTTTGTTGTTTATGGTTCCTTGATATGTAAATTTTTTGTATGTATTGTTTTTGTTCTTATCTGTTTGGCCGATTAAGTGTGAATTAAAATGTCTTTTTTCTTGTTTTTGATTATTTTGTTGATTATTGAAATGGGAAAGTCATTTTCATTTGCTATTTGTTTAATAATATTTAGTTCGTTTTCTTTATCACTTGTATTCATAGGGGTGTTTAAAGCTCGATGTATGATGCTATGGAAGGCAGCAAGTTAATGTTTGTAAGGATGTTGTGATTTAAATGGTATAAGTGCTGAAGTATTTGTCGGTTTTCTGTATATTTTAAAATTAAGTTTTTGGTTAGTTTTTGTTATTGTAAGATCTAAAAAGTTTATGGAGTTATTATTTTCTATCTCTATTGTAAATTTTATGTTTTTGTGAATGTTATTAATAAATTGATGGAATGTTTTGAGTAGGTCTATGTTGCTGTCCCATATTATAATAATGTCATCAATTAACCACAACGCTAGCCTCCTATATATGCTTAGCCTACAAACAAATATAGTCTATTATGCATACAAGATAAGACACATCAACAGAACATGTCTATAAAATCATAAAATTACTAAATATAGGGGAATGAAAGCAGGCTAAAACTTTAAAAATAATACACCAATGTAGAAATTCAAACTCCAAAAAGAATAGCAAATTTTATTACAATACGAGAGAAAAGGATAATAATTATTACAGACTGCCCAAATTCAGAACCAAAATAAAAGAGAAAAGACTGGCATCAGAGGGAGTTAGATTATATATATATATATATATATATATATATATATATATATATATATATATATATATACAAAATTCTATCATTGCTGCGTCCATACATTTATAAAATCCCTATTCTTATTGCGTCAACGACCTTACTGCGTCAGTATATCTGACGCACTAATGTCAAGCGCTTATTTCTTAAAATTTACTTAATCCCAGCACTTTCTAAGATTCTTGCTAATACAGATCTGTGTAGAATTTAATGCCCAATTTTTGTGTCCAAAAATTTTTTATGTCCGACCCTGCGTTTTTTAAATATTTAGAAAAATTTGAACACAAAATGTGTGCAGCAACATACTAAAAATGGAAAAAATTGTATATTTAGTTCAACCCATTTGACGATGAGGGCGTTGCGATAATATACGTTTTTCAATATACGTGTTTTAAATACTGTATGTTGTTGCGTCGCACAATTTGGCAACGTCTCGCCTATGATTTTAATATTTGAATTAAACTCACGATACTGTTGCGAATGGTAGCGCTGTTTCTCTCGCACCGTGTGACGTCACACTAGAGACAGTTGTCCTTTCGTTTAAATGTAATCATATTATAATCTTGGGGCGCGCGTCGAGTTTTATGAAATTTACAATTATGACGGTGGATTTATTAAAACTGATTGTAAGATAAAATTGTTTTGTACATAAGTAATTGTGACAATGTATTTTTTAAATTATATATGCAGATGCAGATTTAAAGGCAGAAAAACGATTATCATTTTTTACGCTTATAATCGTAAAAAAATGATCATCGTTTTTCTGTTAATTTTACTATTTCAAAAATAATAAAAGTTTTTCATGTTTCATGTACTTAAAAAAAAGGTTAATATCAATGTAAATAACTACAATGTGTTTTATGTTATTTTAACAGGTAATTCAAAAAAAAATAAAAAAAAGTAATACATCAATGTTATAAATACAGGGTGTTTCTACTAAAAATTGACAATCTAAATTAGGCTTTCTAATAAATATTTTTCAATTGAGCTTTTGTTTTTGAATTATCAAACTTTGTTTTGAAATAAAACTTTTTATGTAAATTATTTATGGGCGGATTAAAAAAAATAGTTTTTAGTAAATTTTGGGGATGTTTCTATTATCCCAGACATATGTTTCTAGAATGTCCCTGAGATGTTACAGTGTTATCTGGGTTTTTTGCACCACTCAGCCATGGTTAGGATGACCTGAGGAGGTCCGAGGACGTCCTAGGATATCCTTGGGATATCCCAATATCCTTTAAGGCTTTCCTTAGGACGTCCTTAATATAGACTTGTCCTAGCTGGAATGACACTAGTTTAAAAAAATATATTAATGTTTATTTGAATATTTGACGTTTCTAAAAACCAATATAAACTTTTAATTTCATATGTGTATATTTTAGCCAATAAAACATTATTATAGTGATAATAATGTTACATGCATTTTTCGGACAAAAACAACACGGCATGTGTCAATAAAATAAAACCTGACACTGACAGTATACTATGGTATATAAATAAAATGAGCAGCAAAAGATTTAGTTCTATATCGGAAGAAGAAATAAATAAACAAATAAATGTCCAAATAAGAAAAAATACATCCAAACCACCCAAATCCGTAAATTATATTTGTAAATTT